CCCCCCCCACGTCTCCCCCGGATCACGCTAACCTGTCTGCTTTTTGTATAGTTGGATAACCTGGTGTTAATCAATAAGATCAAGGAACAACTGATGGCGGAAAAGATCCGACCTCCTCACTTGCCTCCTACTTCCGTCCCTTCGCAGCAACCTCTGCTCATCCCTCAGTCGCCGGCGGAGACCAGCCAGTCTGTCATGTCCCTACAGAAGCTCCAGCAAATCCCCGGATTGCATCCACAAGCCGTTCCCCAGCCAGATGTGGCGCTGCATGCCCGGCCTGCCACCAGCTCTGTTACTGGTAATGTACACTACACCAGCATGGGGGGAAATCCAAGTCATCATACCATGGTGGGGAGGGGAGCTCGGCTCTGACTGACCCGCAGCTCTGCAAATGTCCCTTTCTAGTCACATGACTTGTTCCCCTTAAAGGGCACAACAGGGTGTAAATGATAGAAGGGGGACGTGTATCTGAACACATTCGTATACCATTGTCACCTGTGTTGTACCCGTTTTAACAATGGCATAAGATGTTAATATTCCGGAACTGTTTATTCGTCCAGTTTACAGTGAGGTCATGTGACCCATAGCTGCCATTCTGGTGTCAGTGGTGACCTCCGACCCCTGTGTCTCTTGCTCTTTGCAGTAGTCTGCTCCGTCTTTACAGATCTATTTCTCTCAGCAGTTTTTGTGTCTCTTTTTCTGGAGTAACAGAGGAAAGATAACAATACAGATGTACACTATATTGCCAAAAGTATTGGGCCCCTCCCCCTCCAAATCATTGGATTCGGGTGTTCCGTGACATTTCCTGGCTACAAAATTACCTGTACCTTTCCCTAAACCTTGTGAACGCCTTCCCAGAAGAGGTGGAGCTGTTATAGCGGCAAAGGGCGGAGCCAACCCAATACTGAACCCTATGGACTAAGACTGGGATGCCATTAGAGGGCGGAGCCAACCCAATACTGAACCCTACTGACTAAGACTGGGGGGCCATTAAAGTTCATGTGTGTGTAAAGGCGTGCCAATACTTTGGTAATGTAGTGTATATATTTTTATCCCGGAATACTCTGTGTATAAACCTCAGACTACATCTTTAGTCCCATCCCCTGGCCCCCCCACGGCCTTGACTACTTTCTCTTGTGTTCCAGGTTTGGGCCTGTTGTCCTCCCGCACAAATGTCAGCACTTCAGAATCTAGCACTGGTACCAGCAGTGGGATTTCCTCCACTCCAACTTCCAACAGCCAGACCCGACTCATCGCCACCTCCCCAACCCTCATCTCAGGAATCACCAGCTCACCAATGCTGGACTCCATAAAGACCATCCAGCACAGCCTGCTGGGGCCCACCAAACCTGAGAGGGGGCGCAAGAAAATCAAAGCGGAGCACCCACCCGGCCACCCAGTGCTTGTCGTCCCTTACCCCATCCTGGCTTCAGGAGATATTGGAAAAGAGGGCAAAACCTACAGGTGAGGTGGACTGATGTTATCACAGGCCGTAGTGATATCTCTATGGAGTTCACATTCTGTACCTTGCAGCCCATTGTATAGATGTGTCCTTCTGTGTCTATACATATTCTGACTGCTTTCTTCCTTTTGCTGTGTTTTAGGTGTAAAGTTTGCCCCCTAACCTTCTTCACCAAGTCAGAGATGCAGATTCACTCCAAGTCCCATACAGAGGCCAAACCTCATAAGTGCCCGCATTGTTCCAAATCGTTTGCCAATGCTTCATATCTAGCACAGCATCTGCGCATTCACCTCGGTGTCAAGCCCTATCACTGCTCGTACTGCGAGAAATCCTTCCGCCAGCTCTCTCATCTTCAGCAACACACCAGGTATGTGTGAGCGCTGCACCCCAGACACAAGCCCTGCACCCTATAGTCTGCACAGTACACACCCTGCACCCTATAGTCTGCACAGTACGCACCCTGCACCCTATAGTCTGCACAGTACGCACCCTGCACCCTATAGTCTGCACAGTACACACCCTGCACCCTATAGTCTGCACAGTACGCACCCTGCACCCTATAGTCTGCACAGTACGCACCCTGCACCCTATAGTAGCACACACCCTTCTCCCCATAGTCTGCACAGTACACACCCTGCACCCCATAGTCTGCACAGTACACACCCTGCACCCCATAGTCTGCACAGTACACACCCTGCACCCTATAGTCTGCACAGTACACACCCTGCACCCTATAGTCTGCACAGTACACACCCTGCACCCCATAGTCTGCACAGTACGCACCCTGCACCCTATAGTCTGCATTGTTTCTCCAAACCGTGGGACAGATTCATGTTCCCAATAGGAGGCAACTGGGGACAGAGATTCATGTTGCTGCACTGTGAATTTACTTCATAAATCAGCCCAAAGCCTTTAAATGTGGACACAACCAAAGCTGCATTTTCCATTGCTTCATGTGAACTGTGTTTGTGGAGGCTTGTTGCCATATCTGCGGATTAGGCAGAGACCATACCGGGAGAGGACCAGGAGACCGTACTGGGAGAGGACCGGGAGACCGTACTGGGAGAGGACCGGGAGACCGTACTGGGAGACCGTACTGGGAGACCGTACTGGGAGAGGACCGGGAGACCATACCGGGAGACCGTACCGGGAGACCGTACTGGGAGAGGACCGGGAGACCGTACTGGGAGAGGACCGGGAGACCGTACTGGGAGAGGACCGGGAGACCATACCGGGAGAGGACCAGGAGACCGTACTGGGAGAGGACCGGGAGACCGTACTGGGAGAGGACCAGGAGACCGTACTGGGAGAGGACCAGGAGACCGTACTGGGAGAGGACCGGGAGACCGTACTGGGAGAGGACCAGGAGACCGTACTGGGAGTGGACCAGGAGACCGTACTGGGAGAGGACCGGGAGACCGTACTGGGAGAGGACCAGGAGACCGTACTGGGAGAGGACCGGGAGACCGTACTGGGAGAGAACCAGGAGACCATACCGGGAGAGGACCGGGAGACCGTACTGGGAGAGGACCAGGAGACCGTACTGGGAGAGGACACTGAGACCGTACTGGGAGAGAACCGGGAGACCGTACTGGGAGAGGACCAGGAGACCGTACTGGGAGAGGACCGGGAGACCGTACTGGGAGAGGGTAGACGGTACTGGGAGAGGACTGGGAGACTGTAGACGGTACTGGGAGAGGACCGGGAGAGGGTATACGGTACTGGGAGAGGGTAGATGGGACTGGGAGAGGGTATACGGTACCGGGAGATGGTTGGCTGGGTGTCTGCATGTCTGATTCTAGTTCCTGGTCGCTCATCGCCTGGTCTTCTGCGGATCGCTGTGGGAGGATTGATGAAGAATGAAATGGTTTTCTCGTCTGATATGAGTGACATCGGATCCTAAGAAATGTCATTTCTGTGTAATATAAAATGTATTTGTGTGATGATGGAGGAGGAGTCCCATTCCGGGTGTCCCCTCTGTCAGGATGAATTGTATGGATGGTCTGTATGTCTTATAGTTGTTTTTATGTTTATAAGGATTCATACTGGTGACCGGCCCTACAAGTGCCCGCAGCCCGGCTGTGAGAAGGCGTTCACCCAGCTCTCCAATCTGCAGGTCAGTGGCCCTCCCTGTGTTCTGTCACTGTATAAGGGAAGGGCTCCGCCATATTGTCTGTATGCAGCACGTGTGAGATTTCTTGTGGTTACTTTGGTATATGGTTTGTGGTGGAGGAGTGCTGGTTGGATCTCGGCTCGGATGGCGAGTGGCCTGGTATTGTTGGGTTAATAAAGGACAGCCCAGTATTGGTGATCCGTGTGCAGCGATGGCGGTCTGTGTGTATAATGGATCTTCTTCTGCTTCACAGTCTCACCAGCGACAGCACAACAAAGACAAACCATACAAGTGTCCTAACTGTTACCGAGCGTACTCGGACTCTGCCTCACTTCAGATCCACCTCTCGGCCCACGCGGTGAAACATGCCAAGGCATACTGCTGCAGTATGTGTGGGAGAGCATACACCTCGGTGAGTAACGGATGATATGTAATGAATATGGGGGGCACCTTATTCCATTAAGGGTGGAGTGGATCAGCACACAATATGGATGGATTGTATTGTTCTATTGAATCTGCACACAAAGGGGAAGTTTTATTATGTTTATACTGATATTGGAAATATTTATCTGATACTTTGAATCACAAGTAGAAGGTTTAAGGTTTTAGCTCTGCAGTTACTATTTATATACAAATCAAATGTACCCAGAGGAGACCAAATCATCAGCTTCCGTCACATCCCTGCCTGTACCCCCATAATCACACCGCTCCTGATCATTGCATGCTGAGGCTTTATACCAGGACCCCTCTAACCTCTCCTGATCATTGCATGCTGAGGCTTTATTACAGGACCCCTCTGACCTCTCCTGATCATTGCATGCTGAGGCTTTATTACAGGACCCCTCTGACCGCTCCTGATCATTGCATGCTGAGGCTTTATTACAGGACCCCTCTAACCTCTCCTGATCATTGCATGCTGAGGCTTTATTACAGGACCCCTCTGACCGCTCCTGATCATTGCATGCTGAGGCTTTATACCAGGACCCCTCTGACCTCTCCTGATCATTGCATGCTGAGGCTTTATACCAGGACCCCTCTGACCTCTCCTGATCATTGCATGCTGAGGCTTTATACCAGGACCCCTCTGACCTCTCCTGATCATTGCATGCTGAGGCTTTATTCCAGGACCCCTCTGACCTCTCCTGATCATTGCATGCTGAGGCTTTATACCAGGACCCCTCTGACCGCTCCTGATCATTGCATGCTGAGGCTTTATACCAGGACCCCTCTGACCTCTCCTGATCATTGCATGCTGAGGCTTTATACCAGGACCCCTCTGACCGCTCCTGATCATTGCATGCTGAGGCTTTATACCAGGACCCCTCTGACCGCTCCTGATCATTGCATGCTGAGGCTTTATACCAGGACCCCTCTGACCGCTCCTGATCATTGCATGCTGAGGCTTTATACCAGGACCCCTCTGACCGCTCCTGATCATTGCATGCTGAGGCTTTATACCAGGACCCCTCTGACCGCTCCTGATCATTGCATGCTGAGGCTTTATACCAGGACCCCTCTGACCGCTCCTGATCATTGCATGCTGAGGCTTTATACCAGGACCCCTCTGACCGCTCCTGATCATTGCATGCTGAGGCTTTATACCAGGACCCCTCTGACCGCTCCTGATCATTGCATGCTGAGGCTTTATACCAGGACCCCTCTGACCGCTCCTGATCATTGCATGCTGAGGCTTTATACCAGGACCCCTCTGACCGCTCCTGATCATTGCATGCTGAGGCTTTATACCAGGACCCCTCTGACCGCTCCTGATCATTGCATGCTGAGGCTTTATACCAGGACCCCTCTGACCTCTCCTGATCATTGCATGCTGAGGCTTTATTACAGGACCCCTCTGACCTCTCCTGATCATTGCATGCTGAGGCTTTATACCAGGACCCCTCTGACCGCTCCTGATCATTGCATGCTGAGGCTTTATACCAGGACCCCTCTGACCGCTCCTGATCATTGCATGCTGAGGCTTTATACCAGGACCCCTCTGACCGCTCCTGATCATTGCATGCTGAGGCTTTATACCAGGACCCCTCTGACCGCTCCTGATCATTGCATGCTGAGGCTTTATACCAGGACCCCTCTGACCGCTCCTGATCATTGCATGCTGAGGCTTTATACCAGGACCCCTCTGACCACTCCTGATCATTGCATGTTGAGGCTTTATACCAGGACCACTAACCATACATTGCTCTGATCACCGTTTTTGTGGATTACACAATACCTTTTCTCTCCCTGCAGGAGACTTATTTGATGAAGCATATGTCCAAGCACACAGTGGTCGAGCACCTGGTCAATCACCATTCTCCTCAGAGGACCGATTCTCCTGGCATTCCTGTTAGAATTTCCCTTATATAAAACATGGGGAGGAATCTTAGCCCAGGAGCAGATGACCAAATGCCAAGGGCGGCCTGGGCTGCATCCCACTTTATCCTCAGTCTGAGGAAGCAGCTACCTTGCTGGGATGGATCTGGGGCCTGGACCAGCTCCCTCTTTCTTCACATTTCTCTGGAGCACCTGTCATGCACTTGGGTACCCTGACAACTGTTTGTCTTGTCAGTGACCGACTCTTGTGGCAGCTGCTTGAGGACCTTTTACATTTCACTGATCTATGAATACACATGGATTTTACCTCTTCTTGGTTGCCCTTGGGATTACAAACCTTATTTGGCTAAACTGTTGTGTCATACGAGCGTGTAACTGGACTTTACCTTGGAGTCAAAAACAAACAAAAAAGAGCTTCTGACTTGCTGCCACTTGGAATGATCCTGGATTGGCTGAAGTTTGATGTTAGTGAGATTCTGATTGGCTGCTCTTGGTGTGAGTCTAACTATAACATTGATTTGCCCAAATTATTTGGTGACATGCAAAGTCCCCAGCCTAGCACTTTGAATCTCTCACATTTTATATTGGTTCATGTTTAACTTTTTTATTCTCCTTTTTTTTACATATGAAAAAAACAATAAAAACCCTATTTATTGGCCAAGAATTTGGTGCTGCTAAAAGAAAGAAAATCAAGCAGTGAACACTTTTATGAACTCTATTTGCTGAATTATAATCAAAATGCTGCAGAATTCAGCACCCATCCTGGGATGGAGATGGACTGGTGGCCTAGATGAGGAAGGCAGGGTTCCTCTCCATGGCCGTGAGCGGAGTATCACTCTAGATGAAGAGGCATGTTTCCCCTCCGTGGCTGCAGTTGGAGTGTTGGCTTAGATGAGGTGGAAGGGTTCCTCTCCCTGGCTGTGGGCACAGTGCTGGTCTATACGAGGGAGTACGGTTCCTCTTCGTGGCTGCGGGCACAGTGCTGGTCTATATGAGGGAGTACGGTTCCTCTCCCTGGCTGTGGGCACAGTGCTGGTCTATACGAGGGAGTACGGTTCCTCTCCCTGGCTGCGGGCACATTGCTGGTCTATATGAGGGAGTACGGTTCCTCTCCATAGCTGCCGGGCGGAGTGTCAGTTTAGATGAGGTGTTGGGGTTCCTCTCCCTGGCTGTGGGCACAGTGCTGATCTATATGAGGGAGTACGGTTCCTCTCCCTGGCTGTGGGCACAGTGCTGGTCTATATGAGGGAGTACGGTTCCTCTCCGTGGCTGTGGGCACAGTGCTGGTCTATATGAGGGAGTACGGTTCCTCTCCCTGGCTGTGGGCACAGTGCTGGTCTATATGAGGGAGTACGGTTCCTCTCCCTGGCTG